AACTCTCAACCACGTGCTTGCAAGGCAGGCGCTTATGCCACTGAGCTAAATATCCAGCCCCTCTTACCATAATTCAAACACCAATAGTTCTGGCTTCAGCAGTGACTATGATTGTTAGTAGGTGGAGCTGAGCACAAAACCTCATGCCTTCAGTGTGCATTTCATTACTTGTGAGCAAAGTGTCCACACAGCTCCATTTAATGAAGCTATTAAAATATACTGACTCATCACATATTTTTTCCACTTTAATTCATTTTCTATTGCAGAATATTACCCTCAGTCGGTAAAATTGGTCTTTTTTTTTTTTTTTTTTTCAGGACATTTGCAAATCCCAAACCAATAAGAGGGAGCCATCTTGTGGTTCAGTCACAAAGAGGCTTATATTTTATCTACAATTATATGATAAAAGTAATATTTGGAAACATTATTTTTGTTGTGTAATAAATGTAATCTAAAATTTTAATTGACAAGTAATTAGAAACTCCACTCTAGCCAAAAAAGTTAATCATAACCTTGTTTTCTTTTTCATTCTTTCCTCTTTTTTATTTTTATGAGACAGGGTCTCACTATGCATTCCAACTTGTAGGCCAGTGAATTTCTGGTAAGCCTCCTGCCTCAGCCTCCCAAGTACTGCGATCACAGACATGCAACACCATGACAGTTGAGTAACTGTCCTTCAGACAATTCAAGAGACTTGTTTGAAACTAAGTATACTGAGCAAGTGGTATGTTGCTGCCTGTAATTATTTTCTCAGTGAAAATTTTCCAAAATGTACGGGGTTAGTAGTTGCAATACTTAGTGAAATAACTTAGGAGAACAAAATAATGACATTACAATAGAGAACTGCTTATTGTCTCTGATCATTTTTACTTATATTTCTGAGTCATGAGAATTCAATATTTTAATCACAAGGATTTAAGCATGATAATAATGACATGTAAGCTCATCCACACTGTATTGCTGAAGAATACAATACATAAAACACACTGAAAGGTCAGCATAGTTAGCATAAATAACAATGGCACAGTAAAAAATATACTATCAACATTACCTACCACCATATAATTATTACTTTGTAAGTTTTATTTTAAAAATAGTTTCTAGTGTCCATTAGGTAATATGAACATGTTTTCCTTTTGTATCTCTTTGTAATTTAAAATAACATCTTTTTCATTTATCCCAACATGTTAATTACTAGTCATTCACAATGTTAAAAAAAAAAAAGGTGTTTCAGGCATAAGGAATTCAACATCAGTAGATGCATTCTGATTTGATTTAAAGTAAATTACAAAGATTGTATCATCTTCTCTACGATTCTTTTTTTACATTCAAAAAGAAAAAAAATCACACAATTAAACCAAAGTTAGAAAAGAAATATAATTTGATTTACTATACACAAAGCATCAATTTGAATGGCATCATCTTAGAAAGAACTGTGTCCTTTTTAAAGATTATTGATTCCATAGGAGAAGCATGAACACAAAGTGCAGAAAAATAAGCCTCTTATTTACGACATGTTTCCTGCAGATGTTATTTCCTTCCTTGCTTTGCTGAAAAGAGAGGATATTTTCATTTGCCACTCCTTGAGGTTTTTGTGGCCTAACACAGTAAAGACTCAAAAAAAAAAAATCTAATAATGAACAGAACAAAGGAAATAACCTTAACATGAGAAAGCAATATTATTACCACTTGTACTGACAGCTTCAATTCAATCCAGGTATTTATTAAATGCCATATAATAGATTGACGCTATATTGCTTGCAAGTGTTGCAAGTATCTGTTAAACTTTTTCATGAACTTTCTGTGAAATAAGTGTACGTTTTTGGATTTTGCTACTCGGTGTCAAGTACTCTGACACTGTGAATAAGTTCAGTTTATTTCCTATTTATCTTATATTCCAATTTTCCTTGATTAGTGAAATAAGATATAAAATTTTACAATTGTAAGTGCGGTCTACCAAACAATAAGTATTTTAAACAAGGTCAGTTTGCAGGAGATTAATTAGGGGTAGAAAAGTATTGTTTCAGACCTCATAAATATATTGGTTTTGTAATAGATAATTTGGAAGTGTTTTGTTTTGCTTTACTTCTCTCTCCAGAAGGAAAAGGAGTCTGACATCACCTCCAAAGAGTGATATTTTTATGAATAGCTGACCAAGATATTCTTGCAAGAAAACCACGCATGCTGATGGCCATACAACAGCAAGTAGATGTCACTTTATTTATTTGTTTTTTGGCCCTGGGGATCAAACTTGGCCTCGTGCTTGCCAGGCAGGTGCTTATGCTGCTGAGCTGTATCCCTGACCCTGTGGTGAATTTTAACAAAGATTCTTTGTTTGGATAATAGAGCACTCATTTCTTTGGTAACACAGTGGATGACAGATGATGACAAGGTTTTCTTCTCAACCTAACTTTAGTCACATTACCCTGCTCTCTCTTTTAGATTGGGTCTGAACTTGCGTTTTGCCTTTGGCCCATTTTATTCAGTTTAGAGAGAAACCTGCAGGGCCAGTTCAGTGCAAATCTCCCACTTCTGATCAAGTTTCTTTCTCTCACCACTAACATCTTGCTATCTCAGATGTCTTCAGCAAGAATCACGTTGAGTCCTTTAAGCCAGAATCCCCTTTAGCGTGAGGCTTCCTCATAGTGATATTCCAGCACCAAAGCTCTTGGAGTCCCACTTGTCTGCTGTCAGATTTGTCCTGTACTAGTCAGAATGGAGCCTAATTCTACACTGAGGTCTCTTTCCCCCTCCTGTAAAGGTTCCTGCTTAAAAATTGCTTTGCTGTCTTCATTTATGTCTAGCACTGCTTTTCTGAGAGAGTGCTATCTTTCCTTTAAAACCCTGCTTCCATTCAACAGTGTGCCTGAGTGAATTTTCAGATACTGTTAGAGCTTCCACTGAGGTTTGTTAGCACGTGGTGTCAAATAAAAGAAACATCAAGAAAAACAAATATGTAACTATATATAATCATCATAACTCTGGCTGTTTTCTGATTTAACATTCTATGCAGGGGTAATTAACTATGCTAATTTCACAAAATTACAAAGAATTGTTTTTAGCAAATGAGTTCATCAGAAAAGATAGCAACTGTCAGCCAGAGTAACTGAGATAATACAAAACAAAGTAACTCATTTGGTGATATTGAAAATGTTGAATGAGAATAAAGAAATATTTTAAACCTTAATGGTAAGATTTTTTTTTAATCACAGTTTACTGTTAAACTTCTCTTTACCTTTAGCATAGGCATTTATTTATATGTGTTTTGTTTAAATGTCTATTATTTCTAGCACTTGGACTTAACAGATGACTTTACCTGATTCTGGGGCTGTCCTGTAAAAGTGTCTCTGCTGCTGGTATGATATGAACCCTTCATACAGTTATGCCAGTTCATCAAGGAAAATCATAATGCCACTTTATCAAGGAACTTTCAATGTATAAATCTTATTGAACTTTGTGCCAGTAAATTATGTAGAGCTCTGTTATCTGTAAATTACAAGTACTTATAAAATGAGAAAACATACCATATCAAGCCCTGATCTAGATCCTTGATCTTCCAAACGAGTGTACGGTGGAGGATTAAATAAATTGAGACAAGTTAGATGGTTTTAGGACTCCAGGAGGGTCAAAACCCTTTAGTTGAGCTCGAGACTCTGAGGGCTAAGATAAAGACTTCTCTGGATCAGGCCACTTTCATTAGGACCAAGGACAAAAGGCAGGGAAACTGAGGAAATGAGCAGGACCTTGGGAGTCATTTCAAAGACTTCTCCAAGTAGCAAGTTATGTCAGTTTAGGAGAACTGTCCTATCTCTGAGTTGACATTTACGGTAGGAGTGCGCCTGCAGGAGTAAAATTCCTGCAGCTGAGGTCTCTATTTACTTAATTAGTGTTGGAGCCAAGGTGTCTTCAGCTGTGGCCTTATCTTGCCCTTTGAGGTATCTCTGGCCTCACAGGCCACTACAGGCCTCAGCCAGGACCAGTGATTCATAGAGGTTCACTATTAATCAGCTCCTGTGGCCAGGCAAGGGGCCGAAGCCTAGGACAGACTCACAGATAAACATAGAAAGCCAATTAGTAAAATTTAAACCCTGCTCAGAGCTGCTTCGTTGTGGTCTCCAATAGTACCACACTGTAATATCATCTTAAATTTCTTATTCATTAAATTTTCTATTATTTATCTACTATTGTATAATTACTAAACTTTGTCACTCTGTGTGGGTGGAAATACAAGAAGAAATTTTAGAATAAAACAATATTTTTAAAAAAATAATATTTATGAGTAACTGATAATTTATTCAATAAACAAATTTTAAAGGAAACTATTTCAAACATAAAGAGTGAATTCAATAGCATCAAATAATTTATCCAGTTAGTGACACATCTTTCATTGTACCCTCAGTAGAGAAGTTCCATGTGCCATCCTCCTTTTCTACAATAAACTGCATAGATATTTTAATTTTAAAAAATATCTTGTTAGTGCATGTTTTGTGTCTTCTCTGAATACCACCGACTTTTGTAATCCTAAATGTAATAGTCTCCATCAGAACAGAATTGTAGAATGATTGTTGTTAGAAAAACATATTATTTGATCAAGCTTGTTCTTTAAAAATTGGACAGGAATATGAATATTTTTGAAAAGTTTAATTTTTATTAATTTTGATAAAACTATCTCCAGTTACATGATATACACAATATAATGTTCATGAATTAATGACTGGTTAGACAGCTTGTTAATTATGGAATTGAACTAAGAGGAATATAATGAAAAACAAAATTGTGCACAAGTTTTAAAATATATTATCAGTAAAATTTCCTGTAAAAGTAAGACATCAGTCTGGACAAGAAGACAGACTCAGAATCAAGCCGAGGAAGACACATTTTTGATTTACAGAAAAATGATTAACATCACAAAATACCAACATAGTTTGGGGAGAATAGACTTTTAAACACCTTGTCTCACTAATACATACTATGTTAAAATACTCTAAGGAAACACTGTATTTGGCACATTTTCTTTTTGATCTTTTCCCATAGCATGTTATATAATAACTTTAGAATGTCAAAGTATTTTACTCTGTTTTTTCCCTGAATGGGTACGTGTCATAGATTAAAATGCAGATTTAAAATAAGCTATCACATAACTCATAGAGATGAAAATGAAGGAGCACAAAAATTACTCACACATCAACAAGCTCAGCTTTTCATTTGACTTTTATTATTTATCTTTAATCCACAGTTCCTCACTTCCTCCTACATTACCAAACCAAGCTAGATAATGTGTGTAAGTGGGCTTCCCTGAGGGGCATTTGCTAAAATCACCCCAGAGAAAAATCAACTGTCAAAGGAAAACAGCATAATTATTTCACTATATGTTTATTATACTTTACCCTACAATATGCCTATCCTAGCTGATTTTTAAAAAATTAATAATACTTTGTAGTATTTTGTATAGCATCTTTGTATCCAAACTGTACTTATAAATGTTTGGAATTATTGCTAAATTACAGGAAGATGTTTAAAGTTACTGCAAATAATTTACATATATTTTATTAGTATTTATTTATCTAAATAGACTTATTTTATTTTACTTTATTTTATTTTATTTTGTTGAGACAAGGTCTTTATATGTAATTTAGACTGGCTTAGAACTTACTGCATAGGCTAACCTGAAACTCATGGTGATTCTCCTGCCTCAGTCTCCAGAGTGCTGGGATTACAAGCTTGTCCCACATCTGGCTGACCATTAATTTTACATTTATATATTTTATAAATCTGAAAATGTCTCCCTATAGTTTAATACTTAAAATGACCTAATGAATTGTCTAAATAAGATTAAAAGTTGTAATAGATGACTGAATAACAATATATTGATTGAGCCTAAATGTAGGTAGCAGATATTAGAAAATGCATGATAAAGAATGGAATAGGCTTAAATGTTTTTAGGAAGTTAAAATAATTTCATGCTGAGGACTCACTTTTTAATGATACAGAATTATGACACAGTGGAACAGGCTGGCCTCAGCGAGGAAACAATCTACGTATGATATGTATGGGTATGAGGAGAACATAGCTAATATGGTGATGAAGATTTTAACATTCGTTGGAAAGCTGAAAGGAGTATTTTTAACTCCAATAATTTAAATGAAAGTTAATTAAAATAGGTGGCTTGAAAAAACACAAAACTTTGTGTTAATTTGAGTGGTTTTGGAATAGGCTTGTCTGTGTTCATGTCAGTCCTTTCATCAGCAAACCATCGATAAGGCAGACTTTCATGACTCCCTGCAAGATACTGAATTCAGCGTTTACCACTGTGCCTACCAAGCACACCTAAGTTGCTCAGTTAATACTTGTTTAATCGGTTGAAGATTGAATCATAATTTTCTATGTTGGAATTTGTATTTATATATTTCCAGATCCACATCATACACACACACACACACACACACACACACACACACACACACACACACACACGGTTCTGAATTCTGTTTGTATATTAGAATCCTTTATGCATGTGTATATGTGGAATTCTGGTATACTAAAAAAAATTAAAAATTTTGAACACCTTTTAAAAAAGTGTCTCCTGATTTTAAAGTTAGCTTTCTATCTTGCTTATGTATGAACTTTAAAAATTGAAAACTCTATCTAAGATGATAAAAACTCCACTGGCTGTATTTTCGGAAGGATTGTTTGGCATAGTTATTTCGAAGGTAGCCTACATAGTAACTGTCATTGGTATTATCACTGTTATTGTTGTGCTTTTTTACTGAGGAGTAAATGCAGAGCTTAAGCATGCTAGGCAGTCACCCTTAACCCCTAAGTGGTGTTTAAGATTTCTGTCTTTAAGAATTAGAAACAAGATTTGATCTAGATAGCTTTGTTTCTGAATTTTTTAGATAAAATATTGTGGCTTCAAAATGAAGTCATAGCCAAATCAAGTGATAGCATTATTCATGTTTCCCACATAGAGTCATTTACATTGTAAAATAGGTCAATTGATTAAGGCCTTTGGTTAGGAAAGATGACTTCTTTTGTATTTCTAATTTGAAGGATCACAATACCTAGCATGACTGAGTGTGTGTGTGTGTGTGTGTGTGTGTGTGTGTGTGTGTGTGTAACTGAGTGAACTGAGATCAAGCAGCATTGACGAAAATGTAAATAGAAGACAGGATACTAACTTGAGAGTTTTCTGCTTTTATATCTGGAAGAAGCTTTTCTAGGATATATTCCTTTCATTGTTTATGCTTAAATTGTAGGGAATTACATTTTACATGAATTCTAAGTATCTTTGCTATGGAAGAATACACATCACTTCTTCCCCTAAAGGATTACATAACAGCTGTCTTCTTATGCAAATTCACTTTTTTGTATTTTCTTTTTTCCTTCCTTTCTTTCTTTTTTATTCTTTTGTTTTGTTGGTTTTGGTACCAGGAATTGAACTCATAACCTTGTGCTTACCAGGCAGGTGCTGTGTCACTGAGCCACACCCTCAGCGTAAATTCATTTCTTAAAATTAGTATGAAATGGCAGAACTGGGCCAAAAGCCTGATTTTAAAGTTAATGAAACTAATTGTGTATGTGTTTATTCATGTAAGGATTATATAACAGTAAACACATACTGAGATTGCTGTATTATGCTAGTCTTTGCAGTACATGGGTAAGAAAATAAAAATATTTATGCATCTTTGTATAAAGAATAAATATAGCAGTGGATATATTATTTGCATTAAGCCAAGATAGGAATCTTTATGTTCATATACATATGTGTTTTATTATATTGTGTTGAAAAGCATCAGGTTGCTTTTTTATAAACAAACAATAATTCTTCTTATCAGTTTTGGCATCCATTTGAAAGTCAAAATGATTCAATAATAGACGTCATGGTCTAAAGTAAAAAGCCAGAAAAAAAAGAGTGTGTATTTTAAGTTTCAAGTGGTAGGTGAGTAATTTCCTGTTATATAAAGAGTGACTATGTGGCTAGATAAAGGTTATTATGTTTGATCAATAAGATGGTTATGATTATTGTTGCAGTGCTGCGAATGGTTTTGTGGCCCCAAATAGAAGATGCAATAAAGAATTGTGAAAGCATAGTGGCCTGGAGTGTCATCTTCAGAATGCAGGTCTAATGTAGATTTCTGACCTCTGCAGCTGTAGATTTCCACTGCCCATTATTTAGGTAGATTCAGATAATGAAAGCGGTTTTGTCTGAATTATTTGAAAAGCTGTGCCAAAAACTAATTCAATATTTTTTGAGCATATTAGACCACTTTGAATCCAGTTTAAAGGATATTTGAAATTTAACTTTTAAAACATTGTGTGGTTTTGCAAATAAAGCCTTCCCAGAAATGCGTATAAAGTCAGTAACTAGCAATACAAGTTAAGTTTGTAGTCTGCTAGAGAGGATTGTGCTGAGAATTTCAGCACTTCTGTAATAGCCTGTAACTCAGTTTTGAAATTAAACAAAGGCAATATAATAGTCTAGTTAAACAACTGAAAGCCTAAATTATCAAGCAAGAAATACAATTATTATCACTGTGTTTAATAAGTAGTTATAATCTAAAGCACAAGCTTGCAATTCTAAAGTTAAAAACAATTTTCTCTGCGTCATTAAGATAACTCCTGACTAATCACTCAGCAAAGCAAAATAATTATTATTTTCTTCAGTTAGATTTTCATTGATTATATTTGCCTTGAATAGACTGTTAAATTAAACTGGCTTACGTGAGTGGAAACCACAATTACTCTCCTAATATACTGATAAAGCCCATTATTTTAATCTTTGCTCCGTTAGCACCAATGAAAACTGACTGACTACGTGTTCATAATGCTTATTTGGTGTGGCTGCTTTTCTTTGCTAGTTCAACATCAAGTAGATGAGAAATACAAGTGTTATGTGATAGTAAACCTCGAGATTTATGGGATTATCAGTGTGTCAAAGTATCTGAAATCTGTTTGGAGTGGAGATATTATGACTTCAAAGATTGTTAGTAACTAAGAATTATTAGACATATTTTCATTTTCAAGAACTTTGCTCTTCCAATATCCCAAATTGTTGCTAGGAGACAACAGTGAATTAAATATTGTCTCCTTCCTACTCTCAGTACTGAAAGTATGCTATTTTCTATTTTAAATATGGCAAGTCCCAATTCTCCCAAATCAGTTTAGAATGTGTACATTATGAATAAAAGGAAAATTTAAGCTCCTACAATAATGTTTAATTCTGTCAAGTAACTCGCAAACAGAGGTACATCATATTAAGCATAGAAATTTATGTCTTAAAAAAGCATGCTCATTGGAGTACAACTCTGCCCTAAAGGATAGACTTGAATCATTTGTAGGAAAATGAATATACATTGAGATCATAATGTTAAGTGAAATGGATATGGTATACAAGCTTAAATAGGACTGTCTCTCTTATATGAGAAACCAACAATATAAAATTAAAAGGAAAAGTAGAAGACAGCAAGAAACAAGGAGATAGACCTTTTGCAAAAGGGGAGGGGACCAAAAGATGGAGAAAGGGAGAGAAGTGATGAAAAATGCTTGAATTATGTTATGTACACACACCAATTCTCCATGAAGAATGTACAATTATGTCTTGAAGACACATAAGAAAAATAAAAATTAAAAAAGTAAGATAGATGAATGATCTTGATGAAAAGGATATATAAAGAAGATACACCCAATTTTCTCCAACTAGTGTAACTATTAATGCTGCAACCGCATAAAAATAGTTAACAATTTGCTCTTTGCTGTTAAACATGTTGCTTTATTTTATATGTTTTTTCTAAAATTTTCATTATATTTCATTAAATCCTGGCCATTCAGGTGTATATAGATGCTTGAATATTAATAATTCAAAACAGAGATAAAAGATATCTGACTATACCCATTCAACAGGAATTCATTATGGAGTAAGATGAGGTGAATTGGATGGGCTCTTGACGTGTGTGTCATGCATGGAGAAACTTCTGCAAAGATTGGAGACATTTTAAAGACCCTTGAGTCTCTTATTTCTAATGATTCTGGCATCTGTTTCAAGTAGTAAAGGATGTTCTAGGTTTCATTTATATTTCAATTTCAACTCTAATGTTTGGAAAAGATAGAAGTTTGAGCAAATATATACCTAGTACCTGCTTTCTTAAAAACTTACATGACATGGATACAAATATTTCAATAGTCTGGGTACATAATTACTTTTCAAAAGTTGATATAAAATATTTTAACAAAAATCACATACTTTCTAACACGGCTATTTGAAAATGCATCAGAATATGTACATTAATTTCCAATTTAAATGTATAATAGTTACTCGTACTATTTATGCACACTTTAAAATTTTCTCACCATTAGTGGTTTTCTGGTTGGCTTACATTAGAATATTTTGATTTGACACAGAGCTAGTTGCAATGAATACCAATTCAAGATAGTAACTACAGTGAATTTTTCCAAGTTTAAAGTGTCTGAATCATTAGAAGGGACATATTCCTTTCAACGTTTTAGATTCAGCCATATGTGCCTTGTCACTATTGATTATAAGTGAAGCATCTTTTAATGCAAGAAGGCAGTGATAGATATATATGGGCAAGGAACATTATGCCTAAAAATGCAGAATATTTTTGGGATAAAGAGATTTCTACAGTATCAACAGGTTCTTATTGACAGGTTTTCTCATGGTTGGTATTTTATATTTCAAGTGTCTGGTTTAAAAAATGAAATACTTTTGATATTCTCAGGAAAGCAAGTGATATCTGAATTTCTCTTGAGAATATGTATCTTTATGTTCATTAGATTATTTTTTTTTTGTTTCTGGCAGCATTCACTTAATATTCAAAAATTTAAAAGTTTCGATTTGTACAATATATAAAATGTAGTCAGCTGTTTCATAAATGTAATGAGACAATGTAGTTTATCAATACTTTAAACTCTTCAGCTAATTGTCAGAGAGCACAAATAACATATCTTGTTCTAATCTTTAGTACAAGAATATGTTTTCATGGTTTTAGTTCATAGACACCAGCTGAAGACACAGCTAACTTTTGGGTAGGTAATCTTCAAAATAAATAGAGTGCATGGTAGCAATTTTCTCAGTTGTAGCACTTGTATATAATGCCAAACATGTTGATGTTTACCTCTTGTTTTAAATTTCAAAAAAGAGAATTTACCCTTTTCTCAGCAAAAACTGCTGTACATACATTATGTTTTTTTTAAAAATTGCTTTTAAAATCTACATTTGAATAAAGGATAGAAGCATTGAAAAGTTTTTAAATTTTAAATGGCAGTTTCTGCTTTTCATTTGAGTGGCTGAAGTTCAGAAAATAGTATTATCTGGCTAAAAAAAAAAAAAACCGCCTTATTTTTCTTATATCTGAGCTAACTGCTTATAGTGTGAACTTTTCTCTGTAAATAATCTGGCACACTGAATTTTAATTTAGTACATCTAATCATAATTATAATATCTAAAAAGCACTCTGAAACATTTTTAAAATAGCATAAAATAACAAAACTGGAAAAGAGTAAGACTGCTTTAATTTAACTGAGAATTTTTGCTATATATGTTCACCTAATAACATGCATGATACAAATCACTGTCCCATTATAGTTGAAATAATCTTAGGGGATTATTGATTCATTTTAAGTAAAAATTTCATCTAATATTATTTCCATTATGTGAATGACTTATATTTTGAATACAATTGTTCAGTCATATTAAAATATTCTTTATTCTATATAGTTGATTTATTTATATAATTTAAAATTAAAATCATGTGTCCTTATAGTTGGAGACAGTTTGAACCCACATAGTTTTCATGGGAAAAACTAGTATAATTTAAAAAAAAAATTTAAATAGTCCATTTTTGTTTCTACTGAATTCATTTAATAAAATTGTAAATAATTTAATTATCTAACATTCTAAAGTCTAAGTTTAAACTACGAATACCTTGTTGCACTTTTTTCAGTTGTATAAAAACACTAGATATAAACATTAGATATCACGCAGAGATGAATGCTTATTAAAAATCCAATAAAAGTGAAGATACTGGCTTGAATTTTTATTGACAGTTATTAAAAATAAATCACTATAACGCTTGTTTAAAAATGACCATGTTTTCAGTATTTCCATCAGCATTTCTAGAGAAATAAAGTTTAAGACAAGTAGATTTTTGTATGCTACATGATCTCATAAGTCATTTAACTTTCCACAGAGGGAAATTTCATATTCTAAGCAACTGAATTTAGTTTTTTAAACAATGAGTCTTTAATCTTCCATTTAAAAAATATTTCTCATTATGTATGTAGTTCTATAGTGTTCTACATGTAATCCTCCATTAATAGAAGTAAATTTTCCACTGAATTGTCTGCTTATTTTTATTTGTAATTAAAGTATAACAAAATAGTTTTGTATTTCAAACTACTGACCTTTATTATCTTCATCATCTTCTTATTATCTTTTCATAAAATTTACTGTGCAAATCTTGCTTTTTAACATTTAACATCACTTAATTAAAAGTCAAGAAATTCCACAGTTTTCATCTTTACTGCTATGTGGTAATATATAACATAGAAACACACTGGCAGGAAAAGATTCCACTGACATGATTTACTGTGAAAACAAAATCTAGATTATTTTGAATTAATATGAAATAAAATTCTCATAATATATATTTGGTATCCATGAAAAGAATATTAATCTGTTCCTGACACACATACACACACCTATGGTAAAGAAACTCTTCTGAATTGAATGTCAGTGTTTAAATGCCCCACAAACTTAATCTTGTTGCTGATGAATGTCTTCATGCCTAAGAATTTTATAGATAACCCAGTAAAAAATGTTAAAAATCAGAAAAGCTAATGGGAAGCAGGCTCTGGAGATAGTGTCAATCTTCTTGGCCCGGTCAATAAAGACCTTCCTCATTTCATCCATGCTTTTAGGCATTACCTGGGTGGCGTGATTTGGGCCCTTTGGAGTCACACCATCTTTTGCTTGCAGGCATGGACCCATTCCATAGGCTGTGAAGCTGAATTGGCTTTCTCTCACCTCATCATCCTGTCAAAGAAAATGCAAGATAATATTTTAGTAATGGAATAGGACATATATAGTAATATTTTAGTAATGGAATAGGATATATATATATATATATATATATATATATATATATCCTATATATAATAAGCCTTTTGGTATCTAGAGACTCTGGGTAACAATTTGAACCCTAGACATTTGAGAATCATAATTTGAGTTTCAACATGATATATATTTACACAAATAAAAGGAAAGATAACTGAAGCATTTGTAGATGAGTTGCTTTATTTCCTTTGAAGTTTTATTTATCTTCCGGCATCATATATATGTCCCATTAATAAATATAAATCTCTTGAAAGATGCATTTTAATGGAAAATTAAAGTTTGATATTATCCGCATACTGGTTGTATATCTACACAGTGAGAAGAAAAAAGCTAATAATATATTGTATCGTATATGTTCATATGCTGAATGTTTTTTACATTTGTCTAAATGTACTATTGCACTATGTCACAGGGGAAAAACTCCAGGGTCATTGCCTGAATTTTTCTTTAGCATGGAGACAAGTTTTTAATACTTGTTTCCTACAATTCTAAGTTACTTCCTTAGAAAACACAATCTAGCACAATAACATACCTTGGTTTTTGTTATTTTTACTTTATGCTATTCCTGTTTTACACTAACCCTTTTGAAAACCTATATGTTCTCATTTATACAGTTACTTTTCAGGTACATTGGTTTGGTTAAAATTGAAATTAGTTTATTTTGTGTTCAAAAAATAAACCTGTTATAAACTTATTCACAATATTATGTTCTTTTATCATATGTAATTACTTATAAGTGATAAAAATGAATAAGAATATTCTATATACATAAATAAAATTTTCAAGGAACAATTATTCTATAAATATATAATAAGATATGCTTATATTAGTGAAATAGGATATTTAAAAGTTTATAATGGAATTCACTGGTGAAAAATTTAAAGCATTCATTTTAAATGAGACAGTAGATAGCTACCAATGAAAAGGATATGAAATTGAAAGATAATAATGTATTTTACAAAGTTAAATCTCTCTTATTTGAGTATTGTTTTTAGTAATATAAAAGACAAATAATTGACTCAAAAGCTTGAAAACTACTTAAGGTCTGTGAACATAGTTTTCATTCAGCAGCACACTTTAAGTATGAAAGTGAAAAAGTTGCTGTTTTAGAAACTAATAGTGAGAAAATAACCAAAGCAGATTCAGTGATGTATAAAATAGTTTCTTTTAAAATTATGAATATAAGCATTCCACTTGAAAATATGAACCATATAAGTACTGGAAAACAGTTCAATCAGAAGGTGTACACAAACAATTGAAATTAGAGGGAAAAAGCCTGAAGTGAGTTGAAAATGATAATTACCTGAAAATCGAGCTACCACTGAAAATCACAGGTGACGACTGTTGTAATGTGTCAAAAATTGGAAATAATTTCCAGTATTTTCTAATGAGTCTGTTCATTTAAACTGCTGTCTTTTTGGCTTTCATGAACATTTTGTGGCAAACTTACTGATCGCATTGACATTTTCAGGGTCTTGAGCAAAAAATATGTATACTAGAGATTAATCTATTGTCATCTAAGTGCCAAAATAAGATGCTTATAATTGAATAATATGTTGAATATGTTGGTGTTTGTGCTACAGAAAGAAAATGTAGATCGGCTGGGTAATTTGTACTATTTTGTGTGAAAATCAGTTGAATGTTGTCCTGTACTATAAAACTTTTCAACTGTATCAACCCATGTGTTTAAAAATTCCATCTTAAAATAGGGCAAAATATAACTTGATTAACATTTACTGTGTTACTATCTTGTTGCTATGTTAGTTGAAACAGTTGGAAAATTTACACCAACATGCTAAGATTTCAGCATTCCACTTTTTATAATTCTAAGGCAGAATTGAGTTTCTTTCTAACCATTTTTTCTGGAGAGGTTACTTTAAAACCCTCAGGGACCACAACCGCCCAACTCAAAGTGGAGAGAATCCATTTACAATGAACACATTTAGAAAACAACTAAAATTTTATGACTTTCTATATAATCAATTGTGTGTAAAGAGTTAACATCAGACCTGGGCTGCTGCAGAACTCTTAGAATGACCTCTGATTGCTATAGCATCATTTCCTTGAAAACAATAGAGTTAAGTTGAAGAGGAATTGGAGTCTGCCAGGAGCAGGACTGCACCTGCAAGGGGACCTGGTGGAGATGCACATAGGCCCATAGATCTTTTGACCTATGTGTCTGATCACTTAGTTCAAAGCAAAAGCTTTGACTTCTCTGTGTCAAGGCAATCACTCACGCCTTGACTTTTGCACCTGCATATGCTGTGGATGTGGGAGCAAAAGAAGTGGTGCTCCTGGGAAACTGCCACATGTCCCATGCAGTGAAGATATTAATAGGTTTCCTATATAACATCCTCCTCTAGGGCTAAATAAATTTAATATGAGGTTAAAGCCTTTTTTGTATCTAGAGACTCTGGGTAACAATTTGAACCCTAGATATCAGTTGTGGAGACAACCTGATAAGACTTTAGGATCCTTTATTTTGGCTTAGTATGGCCAAAAGCTTTGGATGAGAGTTCAGGTGAGATTCTGATGCTCATCAATGCTAGATTATAGGTAGTGAAAACTGCAGAAAATAACTAGACCTAAACCTTGCCACTGGCATCCGGAGAACATAGATTTGTCCTCTGCCAGAGTGTCAGATGATCATTGAGAAAATTTCAGGAGACAGTAGCTCATGAAGGAATTAATTCCTATTTCCTGTTAATTAATCAGTCCTCAATGAAGCTGAAATCATTTGGAGGGAAGAAAAACAGCAAGGGAACCTGGGCAAATGACACCAGAAAGTAGTATCTTTAATGCAGCTCCATTCCAGAAAAATATGTAAGCCACAAATGAAAGATGTGTAGTTTAAAATTTTACATTTCTGTTAAGTTGTAAGAAACAGGTAAAATTAATTTTAATTATAAAATATAACTTCATATGTCCAAAATATTATTTCAACATTTGTTTAAAGTTAAAAAAAAATGAGATGTTTTACATTTGTTTTTCCTTCTAGGTCCTTGGAATCTGGAATGCATTTTCTGTGCAGAGATTTGATTTTCCTTGTTCTCAGTAGCCACATCTGACTAGCAGGTACCTATTTGGATAAAGCAGCTCTAGCACAGAGGACATGGTTTGTATCTTCCTACGTAACCAACTGTGTGTGAGGAGTTAACATCAGGCCTCTGCTGAGAAGTGTGGGCTGATCATAGGGAATCTATGCTCCCTGGAATTTTTAGATTAATTGGCCTGGGAGCTAATAATGTATTTTTGGATACTGAAGCATCAAAGTAGTTTTGCCTAGGCTATTCTCACACTTATGATCCTCCTGCTTCAGTTTCCCAAGCAACAATGTTTGGATTACAAGTGCCTGGCTATAATCCTTTTGAGAAAAGCTGATGAGTTATGTGTAGCAGCAAACCTAGACTGGATAGATAATAATCCAAAAGGAACTGACCCAGGCCATATCCTCTCACCTAAACTCTGGTACACAAACTGTGGTTACAGAAGTCCCTTATGTATGTGGCCCTTCTCTTGGGAAAGCAAGAGGGCAAACATATTCATGGTCAGACTCACTCTTGCAGCATCCATACTGGGTTTCTCTGATGGGAAGAGAATTTAGACAATTCAGAAGAAAAATGACGACCAGAGGTAAATCTATTAGTTCTCCTTAGTTGGCTGCTAAGACACAAAAAGAACACAGTGAAAACGGACGAGATTCCTGTGAGCAATTTCCTGGCACATTTATGGCCAGCTGAGAGGTCGGAAGTCTGTTTCAATTTCAGCAGCTGCCTCCCCTAAGGAGCCCTGTTAGATCTGTTCCTTTCATCTCAGAAGTTAAATCCAGTGGTGCCAGTGGGGAATGGGAACAAAAGACACTGACACAGGTTGCTAAATTTACTCCATCGGTTAAAAGTATTTGAAGCTAAAAAAGACTGACTTGAAGACCGCGGTCTTGGCTATTTTGGGAGGGACTCCAAGGTTATACCATGGAGAAAGATGGATCACCAAGATTAGTAAAGCTTTTGGAATTACTAGATATCAGTGCAAAACATAATAACATTGTCAAGGGATAAGACTGTAATATGAGGAGCAAATCAGAAGCTGGTAAGGCAGGAAATGAGGCAAAGTGATTAGTTATGATAATAAGTAGCATGCCCACACCAAAGAACATACATAGGAGAAAAGAGTGTGATGTGTTACAGGAGGTTTTGCCTTTGGCGAAATGTTTAACTGGAAAGTATGAGACACAAAGGAAAGATCTTGCCATTTCTAGCTTGACACTAATTTTTGGCAGATCATCCCTTAGGCACATTTTAATTGGTCGTTTGAAAATGAAGCCTTTAGAACCACCTAATCTTTATCTGTAGTAAACATGAAGTAGCATAAGAGTCCAGGAAGAAAATGGGAATTCTCAGCACTGATGAAAAAAGTTGTAGAGGCAGCAGTGCTAATTCTCATCATTTCTCTCTAGAATACCCTGTCTGGCCAATGGAAAAGCTAGATACATCCTAATAATATTTTTCAGATCTAGATGGGCCGCTAAATATTTGTGCTAAATAAAAAGTTCCACCAATGGCACCCATTATTTCAGCACGACAGAGGAGGCAGAGGTGACTGATGGATTTCACTGATGTATTCCTATGTTTTCATTTTGATTCCAGTCTTTAAAAATGTCATGCACCATGTGCCTTCATGAGAAACAGATCAAACTGTAGTCTTTCTTCCTGCCCTAAGGGAAACTGCCTTCTGCATTATGCTAAGAGGAAGCAGTTTGGTGCAGGTCACTCAGAAGTAAACTGATATCACTATAATGATAAATGATAGCTCTTTCTCTGAGGAGAAAGGGAGAATTCAGAGACTTAAGTGGCATGCGATTAGGTAATGGTGGCAAATTAATCTAGGTAAGATGCAGGTTCTAGCTATATTGGTCTACT